CGCCAGCGCGCAGCGGGGCGGAGCGCCGTGAAGACCCGCCCCCTCCCAACGGGCTCCACACCGCCTCCTGCCGCTGGTGGATGAAACCAAGTGTGAGGGGAAGACAGAGAGTCGCGCGCGCAGGGGTCGCGCGCTCCACCCGCAGGCACGCTCCCCGAGGCCAGCGGCCACCCCTCCCATGGCGGCGCAATATGGCCCGGCCCGGGGCGAAGGGGCGGGGACCCGGACTTGAAGAGCCGGCCTTTGAGCTAAAGGCGGGAAATGGCGGATTTCTCGGGACGCGGAGCTGGGTGAGTTGAAGCGCCACGGGTCTGGATTTTGTGGGGCCGGCGAGTAGACCATGGCCGAGAGCTGGGAGAAGTGGGGCAGCAGAGTTGGGGATTGGGGATTTGACCCCTTCAGGACCCCCGAGGGTGCACAGGCGCTGGGAGGCGGGAGGCGGCTTCTGCGCATGCTCGGCAGCCTAGGCGCGGAACTAGACTACGAGTCCCCAGTCAGTTTGCTCGGCTGCGGGGCGATTCCTGGCTAGTGGCTCAACCTCTCCGTGCTTTCGCTTTCTTCCGCTGAGAAATGGGGCAAATGACGCCGCCGCTAAACCTTGTAGGCCTCGGGTGAAACTTAAAAGCTCTTAGAACAGTGCGTGGCTCTTGAATGTGATCTGTCGCGACTACAGTTATCATTTTATAGTGGGCAAGCGCTGGGCCACTAAAGTATCTCCTTTAATGCTCCCAACCCTTCTTTTCTATGCTTCCCCTTTACAGAAGAGATGATAGAGGCTCAGGGAGAGAAGGTCATTTGTCCAGGGTCACACAGAAAGAACAAGAGAGACGGACTCGGACCACTTATCCGGTGCCAGGCATGATTCCTGGCCTGGGTTTGTTTTATTTGTTCCCCTCGGCTGATGTTTTATTGTGCCAGTGCAAATTGAAGTTTAATAGACCAGCTGAAATCACTTGTGTTTTCTCCAGGATCCATTACGCAGTGAGATTGCCATTACCCTCTCCCGAGGTTTGGCGGGAGGTACCTGAGGCTGGCACAGGTGTAGTGAACCCACCACCCCCATCTGGTTGGACTCCACAGCCCTGGATCAGACCCCATAGGGAATCCATGCTCTGTCCCTTGCTAGGGACGAGCTGTTCAAACACTCAGGTCCTCGTCGGAAAACAAGGATAAAGCAGGCCAGCGGGGAGGTATTTGTAGGGTTGGGAGGGTTCTGTGAAGGAGCAGAGCTGCTGGCACCGAGTGAGCATTATTTGGTTGGTTGCCTCTCCCCATTGTGGCCCAGCACCTGCTGGGTCTCACTTGGGGTCCTCAGAGCCTGCTGCACAGGAGGTGGCTGCAGTGAGCTGAGCAAGGGGACCACTGTTTTGTGACCAGTGGAGCTTGTGCCCTGATGTCAGCAGGGGTTACAGTGCCCAGGCCCCTGCCCTGCCCCTCAGTCTGCTCCTCTTGAGTTGCTGGTCTCTGTTGGTAGCATCTCCCTTGCCCAGGCTGCACACCTGGGAGGCATCCCAAACTGTCCTGCCTCAGGGTTCCCTCTCTCCTATTACATCGAACTTCATTCTTTCTTTCCTTAAATAGGGGTGAAACACATAACAACATTTTATTTATTTATTTATTTATTTATTTATTAAAGATTTTATTTATCTGACAGACAGAGACACAGCGAGAGAGGGAACACAAGCAGGGGGAGGGGGAGAGGGAGAAGCAGGCTTCCCGCCTAGCAGGGAGCCCGATGTGGGGCTCGATCCCAGGACCCTGGGATCATGACCCAAGCCGAAGGCAGACGCTTAACCATCTGAGCCACCCAGGCGCCCCCATAACAGCATTTTAAAGTGAGCGATCTAATGGCCTTAAGACATTCTCGCTGTGCAACCACCAGCTCTCTTTGGTTCTGGAACATTTTCATCCACCCAGAAGGAAACTTTGTATCCATTTTCAGTCACTCCCCATTCTTCATCCACCCCTCTGCTCCTGACAATCACAATCTGCTTTCTGTCTTTCTTTGCCTGTTCTGGACATTTCAGATACGTGGAATCGTACAATATGTGTCCTTATGTGTCTGTTTTCTTTGACGCAGGACAATTTTTTAAAGAGATTTTATTTATTTATTTTTTTAAGTGAACTCTACCCGCAATGTGGGGCTCAGACTCCTGACCCCAAGATCAAGAGTCGCATGTCCCATGGATGGAGCCAGCCAAATGCCCCCAGGATAATATTTTTTTTAAGTTTTTTTTTTTTTAAGATTTACTTATTCGAGAGAGAGAGCGAGAGTGAGCGAGCAGGGAGAGGGGCAGAGGGAGAGAATCTCAAGCAGACTCTGCCTCAGGGCTCCATCTTAGGACACTGAGATCATGACCCAGGCCGAAATCAAGAGTCAGATGCTTAAACGACTGAGCCACCCAGGCACCCCATCCCAGGATAATATTTTTGAGATTCATCCATTTTAGCATGTATCAGTACTTCGCTTCTTTTTAGGGCTGAATAACATTCAGGGTTTATTATTTCTGGGCAGGAACATACAGCCCACAAAGCTAAAAATATTTGTTGTCTGGTCCTTTACAGAGAAAGATTGCCATTAGGTAGGCTGAGCCCTTAAGCTGGAAAGTCAGAACTCTGCCAGCGAAGCCAAAGGGCTGATCAGTTCCTATTTGGACATCATTCTCCTCCGCCCTTGTGCCCTTGGCCTTGTTCCTCCCTGTCCCTGAATGTCCTTCCCCATGTACCTGAGCAAACAGGGCTTTGTCTCTCACCTCCCCTCACCTCTTTACCTGTCTGGGGTACTCTTCACATTGCCTGACAGGAAAACACTGTCAGGCAATGTGAGGGGAAGCTCCTCTCAGGGAAGGAGCACCAGCTATCACCAGGAGCATACAGTAGGTACAGAAATGCCTGATGAATTAATGAACCCCTGACTTAAGTTGAGATCTTTGGGGCTTGGCAAACCTGCTTGCTTTTCTCACTCTTGGACCCTTCTCAATTTCAGCCAGGCAGGGGCTCTGTGTCTCTGTTCCAGTCAAGGTGGCCCTGCCTCGCAGACATCAGCTTGTATGGGGAGAGGTTGGGGGATGCTGGGACTGAGTCGTCCCTAGTCTCCTCGCTGCCTTCCCTGAGCTTAGCCAACTACGTAACCATGTCAACAAGACCCCTATCTCCCTCTTCTAGGAAACCTTCCACGGGGGGTCCCGGCACTCCTGGTGGCGCCAAGATGAAAGGAAGAAGAACGCAAGGTGAGCAAAGTTGGAATCTAGCTTACGATCCAGTTTCAGTAAGTGCTTTTGGGGAAGAAAAAAACCAGGCCAGAGCAGGGGAGCTAGGGCTTTATTTCCTTCTAGTCACACCTTTGGGGATTCCGAGTCTCATCACCATGCCCTGCAGCCAGGGGTGTGGCAGGAGTTGGGGGGGGTCATCCAGGGCAGCAGTGGGCCCTTCCAGCAGCGGGGGTCATGGGCTGTGCCCAGGACTCACCACTAGGAAGTGTGGGTGAGGAGAGCTGGAGCTGAATTCATTAGCAAACACTGGAGTCTCAGTTTCTCCTCTGGAAGCACCTCAGGGGTGCCCATGCATCTGGTGTCTCCCTGTGGGTCTGGAGTCACTGTTCACAGCCTGCCTTGACTCTTGGCAATGCCGCTTTGGGCAGTGGACTCAAGGATCTCCCTCCTTGGAGCTCAAGCCTCTGATAAAAAGAATTGTTTTCTTCAAGTATGCTGCGTGCCAGTGCATGTCTCCAAGAACTCAGGGCAGAATTCTGGTTCCAAGTGACTGGAGGTTCATCCATTACAGCATTGCTTGATGATCTTGTTTATAGCCTTTATTATGTTTACAAGTGGTCTAGTTCTTGAACACAAATTATATCCTTCATCGTAACATTGCATCTCTGGAAAATCCAGTACCGTTCAAAACAAGTATGTATGTCCCGGTTTCTGGAAACTTGAAACTGCTTTTCAACTGTCCAGGGAACCCCAGGCCTCGGGATCCTTCCAGAGGAGCAAAACCCTTTGTTGATGGTATTAGGTTGAAAGCAGGATCGTTTCCTGTGCTTGGAAATGGGGGTGTTCTTTGCCCTGATCCCTCACTGGACATCCAGTGACAGACCCTTGGTGTGTCTTGATTTTCTCCCCTGGACACCACCTGGTCTTGGCCTTGACCCTTAAGTGCCTCCTGCCTGACTGTCTGAGCCCACTCACCCTGAAGGCATGGCTGTTCCTTGCCTGGGGCTCACTCAGGGCAACCACTAGCTCTTGTCTAGCTCCATGCTCCCCATTAACTATGGGTGCACCTCCTTTCCACTCAGGACTGTGGCCGCACCCCCAGCCCCAGTGAAAGATGAAATCCTGGCATGAAGATCCAGTTGAAATCACCGTGTCACTTAACCAAATTGTCAAGCTGTGTGACATTAACCATGTCCTCTTCCTGGGTCTCTTCATTAAAAAGGGAAAGTCCTAAGCTCTAGAGGTACCTAGAAAAAGTGTAGAATCGTGCACTGGATGCATGGCTGAGCACCTACTCCCTGCTGGGTGGTGGACCATAGTTGCAAGCAAAACAGACAAAAGTCCTGGCCCTCATGGTGCCTGGAACGGAAAGAGTGGGGGCCGTGAGGGGAGAGGGAGGCCCCTCGGGGATGTGAGACCTGTGAGGTGCCTGGAGGTGCTCAGGCTTCACCAGCTCATGGACCTGCAAGGGAGCCCATTCTCAGCCACCAGCGGGGCGGCCAGCCTGAAGGACACAGGATGTTCCAGGGAGGAGGGTTCCAGCAAGTGCTGTGTTCAGGATGTGGATGAAAATGAGTCTATGGGCTTTGGAGCAGGGAGATCTCGGCGGTCTTGCAGAAAGGAGTTTCTTTGGTGCAGTGGTGATTGTGAGAGCCAGACTGGACAGGAGTGGGGTTCAGGGAGAGCAGAGGAAGACGAACCACCATTGTAAAGGGGAGTGGAGAAGTAGGGGGAGAAGGTATGGGTGGGGGGAAAAATAACAGGAGGATCGTTGAAGAGAGGAACTGGAGGGGGTGTTGCCAGGGCAGTGGCAACAGGGTGAGGGCTGGGCTCTACCCCAAAGCACAGAGTTCCCTCCACATGGTGGGGCCAGATGGCCTTGAACTTGGGAGGCTGCTAGCTGCTGAGGTGGGAGGTTCTCCTGGGGCTGCTTCTGTCTTCATGGTGAAGTAGTAACTGGTCACTAGCTAACTGGAGGGGACCCAGTGTAGGGGAAGTGGGAGGAGAACGTACAAGTGAGGGTCTGGGAGGGGGGTTGGGGAACAGAGCAGAGGACTGTGGGTGATCACTGGGGCCATTGTGAGAAACCCCCTTCCTGCGAGGCAGGCATGGAATTGGGGGGGACCTGGGGCTGGGCTGTCACCAAGGTATATGATCTTGGTGTTCAGCATGTCTCCCGAGAGTCCTGAGCTAGGTAAGGAGGTAAAGAGGCATGAAAGGCTCATATCATGAGTGGGTCATACACAGACTCAGGTGAAGGAAGGGGTTGTTGGGGTCCTGACCGCAGGGAGTGAGTTGGGAAGGGAGGAGGAGGAGGCGGCAAATAGGTGCCCTCCTGTGGAAGGTCTTTTATCCTGTCCCTGCCCTGCCCCTGAATCCACTTTCTGCTTTGAGCATATTCCCTTAACGTTCCTGTGACTCTCTGGGGCTCTGTCCCTAGCCTAGGGACTTATAAACCGTAGATATCCCACATGTTCTCGCATACAGTAGGTGTCCCATACATGCTCGAGGATGCTGAAGCATGGGATCTGAGAGGAGCAAGGGGGAGCAGCTCCCCTGTTCCTGCTGTTGATCAGGGAGGGCACATAGTACCTGGCTCTTGATGGGGGGGGGTCGTCACACTCCACTATTGTAGTCTTGTTATAAACCAACAGTGTGTCCCCCACAGGTGGAAGAGTGGTTGAGTCCCGATACTTGCAGTACGAGAAGAAAACCACCAAAAAGGTAACAACATTGATTTGAATGTTCTGAATGGAGTTCCGTCGGACTTGGAATTCTGACCCAAGTCCCACGGGCCGGGCACAGCATGGTCCTGAATCCCTTTTGCAAAGACATGATCTCTATTGAAACCTGAGATTGTTCCTTTCAACCCAGTAATTCCTTTCTGGATTCTGTCCTGAAGCAGTTCTGTCAGGTGCCCAGCACACAGTCCCTGGCATTGGCTGGCATTTAAAAAACACAGGGTTTTAAAGAAGGACTATGGGGAAAAAATAATGGGTCTGAATCACCCAGTGTTAGAGGCAGAGTTTAGTGAACTCTCTGTAGCCACACCACGGAAATCATGCAACCGTTGAAAATGTTGAGATGGGGACACCTGGGTGGCTCAGTTGGTTAAGTGTCTGCCTTCGGCTCGGGTCATGATCTCAGGGTCCTGGGATCAAGCCCCGCCTTGGGCTCCCTGCTCAGTGAGGAGCCTGCTTCTCCCTCTGTTGCTCCCCCTGCTTGTGTTCGTGTTCACTCTCTCTCTGACAGATAAATAAATAAAAATCTTAAAAAAAAAAAAAAAAGCTGTGACTAGAAAGTAGAAAATAAACTTCAAAAAAAAAGAAAATGATGGGATGAAGCACGGAACGACACAAGCACATGCATTGTGTGTCATTTAACGGAAACACTCAGTAGGTGACCCAGTTACGTATCTTGTTTGATTGTGTGCATACTGAGAATGTGGGGAGGTTGTGTTATTCTTTCCATTTTCTAAATTTGGTTTATGGTAAAATACAGTGAACTATTAATTTCTGCTCCCTACCTTTTACTCTGGTAGGGTGGAATGGCAGGTTCTTAATAAGGTGACTTAAGGGGCACTTGGCTAGCTAAGTCAGAAGAGCAGGCTGCTCTTGATCTTGGGGTCGTGAGTTTGAGCCCCATGTTGGGTGTAGAGATTACTTAAGAAGCAAACAAATAAATAAATAAACTTTAAAAAATAGTAATGTGACTTAAAATCCAACTTGAAGAAAAAGGACACCTTTTCACAAACTGGTATCACTTCTTGGGAGTGATTGGTTTTCAATGGAATTAATTTTTTAAGTTTTTAAATTATTTTTGTTTTTTAGAGAGAGTGTGAGAGAGCGCACTTGAGGGGGCGGCAGGTGAGGTAGAGGGAGAGAGAGAATCTTAAGCAGGCTCCACACCGGACGCAGGGCTCCATCTCACGACCCTGATATCATGACCTGAGCCTAAGTCACTACTCGGGTGCTTAACTGACCGAGCCACCCAGGTGCCCCTGGGCTTTTTTTTTTAGGGAAGTTTTAGGTTCACAGCAAAATTGAGTGGAAGGTAGAGAGATTTCCCATATAACCCCTGCCCCCCCGCCACACACACAGCTTTCCCCACTATCAACATCTCCAACCAGAGAGGTGCACTTGGACATTTGAGGAAGCTACATTGACACATCACCCAGAGTCCGTGTTTTACTTTGGTTTTTTTTGTTTCTGTTTTTTCTTTAAATTCACGTGATTTACTTTGTTGAAGTGATTTTCAACAAAAGATCACAGTCCGTGCCTCCTAATTTTAGTGTTGCCTTGTAAACTTGTTTACGAGCACCCGTGTGTCTGCATATGCTCTAGTATTTTCAATCCCTACGAGCTTGTCCGTTTTTTTTTTTTTTTTCATCTCTTAAGGTAGAATTTACATAAAGTGTCGCTCTTTAGCATTCAGTTCTGCGAGTTTTGACAAACTCATCCTGTCACAGACCCACCACAGTCAAGATATGGAATAGTCACCCCCAAGATCCCTTGGTTCTCCACTGAAGCCGGCCCCACTCCATCTCAGCAGTTATCTGATTTCTGTCCTAACCAGAAGGTCATTAAAAAGGTGTCACACAGCCTCTTGCATCTGACTTCTTTCACATAAAGGAAAGGAGGTCCCACCCTGTGGTTGCCTGTCACAGTTAGTGCTGGTTCTTTCTAATGGCTCAGGAATATTCCACAGTGTGAGTGGGCCATAGCGTGCTTAGCCATTTGCCAGTGAAGGACATTTGGTCTGATTCTCGGTTTTGCCAATGGTGATCAAAGCCACCTTAAACATTCTCGTGTGGGATTCTGTGTAGACATGCTCTCGTTTCTCCCAGGACAGGAACTGTAGGGTAAGTGAGTGTAGTTTTGACTGACTTGTAGGAAACTGCAGCTATTACCCAGAGTGGCTGCAGCTCTTGACATTCCCACCAGCCACAGAGGAGAGCTGGGTGGCTCAGTCGTTAGGTGTCTGCCTTCGGCTCAGGTCATGATCCCAGGGTCCTGGTCTGCTTCTCTCTCTCCCACTCCCCCTGCTTGTATGCGCTCTCGCTGTCTTTCTCTGTCAAATAACTAAATAAAAATCTTAAAAAAAAAAAAAAAAAGATTGAAGCCATTCTAGTGGATGAGAAGTGGTAGCTTGTTGTGGTTTTAATTTACATTTCCATAACAACTAGTGATCTTGAGTACCTTTTCATGTGCTTATTGGCCAGTTCTGTATCTTTGGTGATGTGTTCTTTCAAATCTTTTGCCTTTTTTTTTTTTTAAGATTTTATTTATTTGACAGAGAGAGAGACAGTGAGAGAGGGAATACAAGCAGGGGGAGTGGGAGAGGGAGAAGCAGGCTTCCCGCTGAGCAGGGAGCCCGATGCGGGGCTCAATCCCAGGACCCTGGGATCACGACCTGAGCCGAAGGCAGACGCTTAACGATTGAGTCACCCAGGCGCCCCTCTTTTGCCATTTTTTAATTGGGTTATTGGTTTCCTCACTGTTGAGTTTTGAGAGCTTTTTATATATCCTGGATACCAGCCGTTTATGGTGATTTTCAAATATTTTCTCCCGGTGGGGACACTTCTTTTAAGTGTCTTGGGAGGAGCAGAAGTGCTCAACTTATGGATTTCTGCTTTTATGGATTGTGCTCTTGGTGTCTTATCTAAGAGATCTTTGACTAACCCAAGATCACAAAGATTTTCTCCCATGTTTTCTTCTATGGTTTTTACCGTTCTTTCATAGTTTTAGATTTTACATTTAGGTCTGTGATCCATTTTGAATTAATTTTTGTATCTGGCGTGATGATGGAATTGAAGTTCATTTTTAAGTGTATGGATGTCCTCTTGTGCCAGCACCATTGTTGAAATGACTTTCCTTTCCCCGTCATATTATCTCATCACCTCCATTGAAAAGCAATTGACCTTTTTGTATGCATCACTTCTGGACTCCATTTTTTCCATTGTTCTATGTGTCTGTCCTTAGGCCCCTCACACGCTGCCAGGATTACTGTAGCTTTATAGTCTTGAAATCAGGTAGTATAAATTCTCCCACTCCATCCTTTTCCAAAACTGGCTGTCATAGTTCTTTTGTTTTTCTTTCTTTCTTTTTTTTTTTTTTCCTTAGAATGAGAGGAAGTGCGTGCACGTGCGAGCCGGGAGGGGCAGAGGGAGAAGGAGGAGAGAGAATTTTTTTTTTTTAAGATTTTGTTATTTGAGAGAGAGAGAGCATGAGAGAGTATGAGCAGGAAGGGGGAGAGGAGCAGAGGGAGAGGGAGAAACAGACTCCCC